GCTGGAAGGGATGACACTAGGAAGCCAGCATCTGTTCTTTTTGATGGAAGCAAAGAGGTCAAAGTACAAGATTGTGAACATGCTATTTCATTTGAAAAAGAAAACAATGAAAAAACTGTTCTCTGTCCTGTTGAAATCTACAATAATAATAAACAAGAGGATTCCACTTTGTCAGAAACAAATCCACAGAATAGTGTTGCTAAGCTAAAAGAGGATAACCTAATAAATATTTTAACACACAGGGATATTGGATTTTTGAAGTTTGATACAACAGGCTCAACAGTTGTAACACATGCACATCGCACAGAGATTGTTAAAGTTGGAGCATATGAATTTCAACATAAAGGTCCATTTGATGCCAAAGATGGGCATTCTATAACTGCATTTTGGTTCAAACGACGCCTTCTGAATGGTCAATCGTTCCTGGTTGGTGTATTCACCTCTACATAAAACAGCATACTGCTTTAGTTATCTTCTTTTTTCATCTACATGTATGACATCTGATACTCAGTCTGCTTTCTAAACACAGGGTGGATTCTCTAAGTAGAAAAAAATTGAAAAGTTAAATGCCCGTGAAAATAGAGACAGCCATTATGAGTCATTTGCTGCTTGGAAAGAAACTGAGTGCCGAATTTGTCTTCAAAGTGGCATTGATGAAGAGCTGCAAAGGCAAATTCAGCAAGAAAAAAATAAATGGAGAGATGTACTGTGACTGTTGCTGAATTGTACACAATATTTAGCTTCTCAGAATCTTGCATTTCATGGTCATACTGAGGACATAACCTCAAACAAAAACCCTGGAAATTTCCTGTCATTTTTGCAGTTATTAGCAAAGTATGATCCAGTAATGAGAGAGCATTTAGAACATGTTAAAAACAGGCAAACGTCAACATCTTTCTCTTTCTCCAGAAATCCAAAATGAGTTTATAAATCTCATGGCTTCACATGTGCAAAATTATTGTTTGTCAGCAGTTCATAGAAACAAATACTATGGTATTCTGTTTGATTCCACACCTGATTTAGACCATTGTGAGCAATTGGCCCAAGTGATTCG